AGTTTCTTGATCCCATCGAGATGGTGATTGCTGACAACCAGAATAAGCCAACCATTATCGGTTAATTACATTTTAAGAACCCACCTCGTTAATGAAGCGCTGGAGGTTCTTAAAATCTCCCGAGCTGTCGAACAAGCCGTGCACGATGATCACCGGCTTGAAGGCGACCGCGGCAGCCCACAGACACGCACCGAGCAGCGGCCACAGGAGGCGGGCTGCCCCGCCGTTACTTTCCCTTTTCCCGATTATCGAATCGGTCACAAATCCTTTCATCATATCAATAAATGGTCGGAATAAATCCGTGCGCTATTAAAATTGAGAGGGCTTAAAAAATAATAAAAACAATCATCATCATAAAAGTTGAAATTCGCTCCATTCCCGGCTCCCTCAGCCCTGAGAAGTACGACGGGACTTCCACATAGTTTTTTTCAACCGACATATGATGTAATAAATAAAAATCCCTTCAAAATTTACAGTTCGATGATTCGGTGGTAAACAACGCCGCGAGGCTGCAGCCCAGCGAGCACGAAATGTTGTTTATTTGTTCCGGTCTAAATTCACACGTCACGTTACGCTAAAACGTCACTTCCTGTTTGGATCCGGGGCGGAAGTCCTCGCGTTTTAAGAGCTTTAAAGCTTTTAATCGAAAGATGTTGTGGTTTAACTACTTAGTACACAAACTGTCATGTAATTTGTCGTAAACGCTTTGTTTTACTGGTTGATGTTTTAATGGAGTAATCATTCGCAGTACAGCTTGTCAAGAAACGGATAGATCAGATGATCGATCACAATTGTGGCATGGCGATTACTACATCATACCCTCAACGTCTTAGTCGTCTGCTGTGAATACTGTTCAGAACTTTGAGTTGGATGAGTTTGTAAAACTTGGAAGTTTGGTCTAGACGAATTTGAGAGCCCTGACCAAACTCCCATCAAATACTTTGATGAACTACAACAGGGACTGTGGGTCAAACGACGATCACCTCAATAATGAGCAATAACTTGAGCTTTATTAACCAAATAAGCAAGGTGTGGACAAACATGCCCAACACAGTGGGCCACACTAGTATAATTCAAGGAACAGCACCATTTGTTACCATCAACATGTCTTTTCCAAATTTTGGTCCTTCACAACCACACCAAATGACCTACAAAATCTGTATTGACGGTGGTTACAGCGAATCTTCCTGTATATACAAACGCTATAGCGGTAATTAATGCTGAAGTGTCGACATGATTTCTTTTCGCGTAAAGTGAAATGTGTCCACCTGTGAAGGTGAAAAATACACAAATAAAAAATCTACAATAGCCCTTCATAAACACTTTTGTAAGTTTGCTGTATGAATGAAGAGGAGTGAAAACTGGAATGCTCTTAGTCTGCCGCAGCTCTACACAGTAGGCTCCAGTAGCTCGTGCAGTTGGCATAGCGTCTCCCTCACGGCGACGCCCAGCGTTTCTGCATTTGTCTCCTCGCAGCAGTTGAAGGCAGTTATCGAAAAGTGGACGTGGTCAGACTGTGGGTTGTAACATATGGCGTAACCATCAGGGACCAGGGGACCGAAACACATCACGCTGTCTGTGTTTGCGGGCACCTAAGGGGGAAAAGACAGTGACCGTGACCATCGCGTCATCATAAGTTTATCACCTCCTATGCCTTAAATGATTGTACATTCCCCCAAAATACATTAACAACCCGATAACTTGGATAAGTCATGCTAGCAATGTACTGTAGCAGCCGAGATATACTCTGGACTGGTTACTTGTCAACCGCATGGCAAGCAATCAAAAATACTTTGACAAACATGTCCGCACCTGCCCCGTTCGGAGTTTCCAATGAGTAGCCAGACCATAGGCAGTATCCATGAAGATTTTGGGCACGCTCAGTCCTTCTTCGATGGCCTGTAACTTGAGCCCCAGCAGGTGGCGGTCAATGCCGTGTCCTTTAAGTACCTGCAATAGAGTCCAAGTAGGGAAATTTTGCAAGTCACAGATGCAGAAGTGCAACCTTGACCTAAAGGTCGAATTTGGTCCGTGCCCAAGCTCGTAACTTAAGTCAGTTGATGTGAGTGTTCTCATTTTGTGTGTTTGACCATTTTACCTGACCAATGACTCACTTAAAGTGGATTGGCGAATGTGGTATGGCATTCATAAATAATAATAATGGCTCCAAACCCCATAAATTAGGCCACTTGTACGTCAGTGTACCACTGTATTAGAATTATCATTGATTGACTATTTTTCAATAGCTTGGTTACCTGGTTCGTCAGAGCAGAGTAGGCGTCAATAGCTTCTGTCAACAGCTGGAGCTTGGCTTCACGCTGCAGCGCAAGACAAAAGAAGCGAAAAATGCCCTCATGACAATCCGAACAGTTTTCCCACAAGAGAAGCGTTTGAAATGAAACACGCCCCGTTTGCTCACCGACACGGACGGATCGACGAAGGCGAGGATGAATTTCAGCATCTGGCTCGAAGGTGAACGGATGTAATCGGTCCTTCCTTTCCGAAACATCCTCTGAGAGGCGATGTCGCAGGTGG